GCTATGCAAATCTTTATTCAACTAGGCAACTGTTCCGACCGGTAGAAGGCCCAGAGGTAGGCCATGATTAACTTGGTGCAGATGTATGGAACGTGTCTGTTCCAGACTCCAGTTGGCTTCTGCCGGAACTCAGATTCTGTTTCAGGATAGGGATCGTTGGAAACACTCTTTGACTCGTCTGCCTCCGTGACCCGAAAGGAGAAGCGGCCGTGGAATATGATGATGATGATGTACAATGTAAATTTCGTATGTTGTATAATTCCATGAAGGTTATTTCCTATTTAAAGGAAGTAAAATTATGATACGTGTATCAGTGGAACACGAAATATAGTTTTGTGAGCGCAGGAATGAGATTATTTTTGGAAGTAAAATTACGTATGCGCCACTTTTGGGGCCTGATCCCTTTGTGATTTAACCGAAATGAAACCATTTGTTTTCTCGATGCACTACACTTTTATCAAATTGTTCAGGGGAACATTTTAATTAATTTTCGTTTGTTTCTGTTTAGTTAACTGTTTACTATAGGTCCACAGATGCTTTTTAAATTAAATTGTGGTCTAGCTTGAGAAAGATATGCGTGAGCGAGTGGAAAGTAGATTATTAGTCGATTGTTGCTGAACAAGGTTCAGTTTTATTGAAAATCCACATCAGCGTCGTTAATAATGTAACAGTGGCTTAACGGAAAATAATTTATTGATTTTTTTAAATGCAGGAATCATTTGCTAATTTGCTGAGTGTCTAATTTTTCGACTGAACCTATTGATAATTTGCAAATGGAATTCACTACCTCGGCAAGAAAGGGCGTTTTTGTCATAAAATTAGTTCTTGGCTTGTATCTGAGTTAATATTCAACGTATTTTAAGTTAAGCATTTGCTGAAGTCTATCCATGTGTTCACAGTCTATCGAAATATAATAAGTTTAATTACAGAAGCCTTAAAAGTCAAAGTTACACATGACAGTAGTCTTAAATAGACTTTGCGAACCTTGTTCATGAAGTGTTCCTTATTTTCTTCCGATGCCTTAATGTAAGTTTCAGGAAGAGATTACTGCCTACTTATATGGTGTCAATTCATTGACTAAAGAAATACGTTGCTTGTCTTCAGCGATGCTTCATTAACTCTTGGTTTGCCAAAATGGCCAAAATCAATTCGTCATTCTCATTTTAGTTCATAAGCAAGTGGGACGGGGTATGTTTATACATTCATTTTGTAAATGATAGTTCAAACAGCGAGAAATATGCTCGCCACTGCTGTTGAAAGATTTTGACAGCACTAATTTTCCGTCACGAAACCAGGCTTTCGTCAGTCTCAACTGTGTTCAGATGTGCGATTATAAGTGCATAGTCCTATCACATCTCGTATGTACCCTCTTCAAGCAGGTAAATATTGGTCGATCATGAATTTGTCCCCATCTGCAGTTCACGACTGCAGAATCTGATGAATGTCTTTTCGAGGACTTAAAAGTGAATGAAGTAAGCGATCTTGCTTAGGTGGTCGATTTCCTTGGAACCAAATTTCAGTGCGTATGCGAATATTTCGCTCACGCTTAAATTCAACAAGTTTGCAGCATAGTTTAACCGCTTAGTCATTCTTACCTGTTGTCTCGGATAAAAAAAATCTCGCGATCTTGAAAGAAAGCAACAGCATTTTCTTCACTAGCAGTAGTTCGAACGAGTTACATGAAACGTATTCTAAATGTTAAAAATAGCGGAAAAATAGAGGATTAAAATCAGACACAATTCGAACAATAAATTAGCAAAATCAGAATCAGCAATATAATAACTGTACTTAAGATAAACTGTGTTCAAGAAATAAGTACCTCGAAGAACGGCACCTATGACATAACACAGAAGATCTTAACACCTATTTATTGTGTATGAGGTAACGTTACTGGTCGTTTCGTAGCGCAAGCGTGTTGAAATTTTTCATACTATTTGTTTCTCATACCACCGATTGAGAAGGGCTTGAATTAATAATTTGACTCAGGCCGTATAGGTTTTGTTTTATTGATCATTTCTTTAAGTGATGTGAGCAAAGAAAATTGATGCTGGTGTAATTCTATCACATACTTAGTGGGTTTAAGACAAATGATGCACATCATACTTTGCTGAAGAATGAACATTTAGATTGTAAAGCGATTCCTATTTTATGCATGATACTTCTATTAGAAGCGTTTTAATTTCTTGAAGTTTTGATTTCGTTACAGTACTTTTTTCATTGTTTTAATTTTTGTTATTTTAGACTATTTATTCAAGTTTTTGATTATTGGAAATGCTGGCACAGGAAAGTCATGTTTGTTGCATCATTTTATTGAAAATGAATGTGAGTAATATTATGTCGTGGTACCGAATCTTGAATTTTAAAACACCATTGACAAGGTGTCGCGGTTTTACATGTTCTATACGTCGCCGTTTAATTTAGTACTAAATTTTTTGACGTTAGGTAATGTTCTGTTTTTGTTTATTCTAGTCAGATCAACATCAATAGTTATATTTCATCCATAGGGCCGACCAAATAATGCAGCTTTATCGTGTTCGTCTCGTAAGTCGATATGGGTGGTATGCCCAGTCTTTGCATTTTGTTTTGTGATCCAAGCATTGTTATTTTAATCAAGATAACCTTAGCTAACGGACAGTCAGCTTGCTGTTCCTCAGTAATTGTCATTTCAGTTTCAGTTTGTTTCATTGTTCCATAACTGGTATTCATTGTAGCACACCCTTTTTCATTTAGCGTAGACAACGGCACTGATTCTCTTTTCGATTTGATGAGCAGTGAGTTGCTAAGTTGCTAATTTATGGTAGTCGCTTGCTTCTAGTCCGCACATTGATATTTGTATGGAAAAGATGAAAAATGAACGACTGGTGAATAATAATCTTACGTCCGTGATTTCATCTGTCTACCGATTGAGCTACCTTACTCTATTCCTATCGCTTTGTATATAAAGACATAATTGGATACATGGAGAGCCCATTGATTCATGTGTTGTCACATCGACGTCAACAAGTTCTTTTTGAAGTTCTCTTGAGAGGTACGACAAATGATCCATCAGAATGAACAGTAGAACTTAGTCCAGTCACTGGAGTTTGACACTGAGATTTTTGATACTACTCTATCACATGGACTTTTTGGCAAAATTTTATTCGCTTAGCAAGAGAGCGAGATGCTTACCTTAGAAGGAGACCAACGTAAAGAAAGAACTGTGGTGTTGCTAATTTTTAGTAATTGTTTTAAACGAAAACTGTTTACTTATACACTATGTAAACCCTCTCAGTCTGTTTGGTAAAATCCTGCTTTAGATGTTTTGATAATTATCTTATGAGTTTTCTTCAAGATAAGGTTAGTGATCTTTGGTTCAGATAGATATGATTTTCTCGAACAGGTAGTTCCCGTCGAGTTCTAAGACGTTAGCCTTCATTGTGTTCCTAGTCTTCTTTCGATCTGGAGTCATGAGTCGTTATCATCTTTTCAGCTAGGAGGTGAGATGGCACTGCGAAAAGATTTCGCTGATTCGTACAAACCTCTGGCCTTTAGTTACATAAAGAAATTTAGGCGTCAAATTCACTTGGTGATGACGATGTGACTGAAGATGGATAATCTAGCCTGGTAACTATTTCACTGAAACTGTATGACAGGTGCAGGTTATTCGATGAATTTTGTCATTGTCATTTTGTCATTGTTGTCCCATTCAATTGTTGCGTTCATCGCTTGTGATGGTTCCTAGAAAAACGAACTAAGCCCTCGAAAGGATATCTAGTACATTAATTTCTCATGTGTTGGATTACTGACGTCTAATTATATTGCTCATGAAGTTTCTTTAATACTGAAAAATTCTAAGTAAGCTGTCCTTTGCTAGATCAGACAGATGCATATCCTATTATTACCGATCTAAGCTTTCTTATTCTTGACTACACTAACTTTCTCGATATATCACTGAAAAAAGTATCTTAAAGCTTATATTTGTCTGGTTTTGGTAACTTTTGCGATGATACATTACTTGAGTCATATAGTAACTGTTGAATATGAAACTTGAAACGCACATACTTGTCTGTAGCAGAAATGTATGATTCATTTGGCTTTTTCAACTCACATTCTTCGAAACATGATGCTGATATTTCGTCTGGATATACTAAATTTTAGTCAAACATGATACGACCCATACAATTGGTGTTGAATTTGGTTCGAAGGTAATTCAACTGAATAACAAGGCAGTGAAGCTGCAGATATGGGACACAGCAGGACAAGAGCGTTTCCGGTCAGTGACTCGCAGTTATTATCGCGGAGCTGCTGGTGCGTTGCTTGTTTATGACGTAACATGGTAAATGTTCTGCGGCATGCCCTTCTTTTCTGAACACTGTCAGGTTTTAGCCGAGAGAGTTTCAACGCGCTGATGCAGTGGTTATCGGATGCAAGATCTCTGGCTAGTCCACACATAGTGGTTTTGCTTATTGGTAATAAAAAAGATTTGGAGGAACGACGAGAAGTAACTTTTCTAGAAGCGAGCCAATTCGCTCAAGAGAACGGTAGGCATTCGAAGCTCTGTGTATATCACTCAGCTGTTTATCCATTGCTTTAAGGGTTAATATTCATAGAGACGAGTGCGTTGACAGGTGAAAACGTAAAGGAAGCGTTTCTTCGCTGTGGACGCACTATTTTAGCCAAAATCGATTCTGGTCTATTGCACATCCCGTTTTACTTCTCATTTTTCTGATCTCATGTTTTTTAAGGTGAACTTTACCCAGATCGAATGGGTTCCGGCATTCAGTATGGTGATTCACAGATGACGCATATTTCTTTGGAAAAGTCTAACATACTTCCGAGCAGCTGTAATGTTTGCAGCTAATTCTTATATCGTGACCTCATCTGCATGTTGTAACTAGGTTATGCCAAAGATGATTGTTTCAGGCTCATTGTATGTTCGATCTTTTCGTTGGAAGCTACAGCTTTTCTTGTATACATTTCTGTTATATTATCGATCTCACACTGTTATGTTGATGTTACGCAACTCTTAAGTTCTATTTTTAGTTTTGCATGATTCTATTTTGTTCATGCTTTTTCGTAATCTTTATGTAGTTTGTTTTATTAAAGACCCAGTGGAACTTTCACCAACGAAAAGTGTTATTTCTTTAGAAAACTTGACATACATTCTCTTGTGAATCACTTTGTCTCCGAATTGCCAGATCATAATTGCAGAGATTTGAAAACATAGCTGAGATGTTCCAGAGGTAAACATAAGACAAGTTCTCTTTTCTTTGTCACATGACTTGCGGGTGAGAAGCAGACCTATTTGAGGTTTTTTGGCAATACTGAACAAGACATGATTGCCCCTTCAGATCTGTTCAGCGGCTGTATAAGGTTGTTTGATTTGCATTAGACACATGAAACTCACCTTCTCAAGCAGAAAGGAAGATGAGCAGAGGTGTTCAGGGTTCAAGGTGAATGTAACAGTTGAAAGGAGTGACGAGGATAGAGGATCAATTATTCTTTTGCAATAGATTCTCGTCAGTTACGATCAAGCGCATGTGCTACTTAGCAAGTTACCTTAATTTTGTATTTACGTTTATCATGGCAGTCATTTGTTGCTGAAACCTGTTGCAGTTGATGCCGAAATGGTCTTTGTTATTTCATTTGCGAAGTATTCCTTTTTATTAAAGTAGTTTTACATGAATTGGGATTCAGTACTATGGTCCTTTGTTACTGGTTTGAAGGTACTGCTGCAAGTGCAAAGAAACAGCTTCATATCACTATATAGTTGTCCAACAATCAATCACCTGTAATGGCCACGCAATCAGTTACTTCAACGATGACCAGCCATAAGCTGTTTTTCGGTTTCCGTGTCTTCGTGTGACATCTTGATAAGTGATCCGGCTTCTACTATTCATGAGGCATGTGAGTATGGTACATCAGAACGTTGTCACCAGTATTATTTTGCTGAACTGCGTTGCGCTAAAGTTCATAACTGTTGAGAAGTCAGTCTCCTTTACGCTTCTCCTATTGGGCACGGTATGTGGCACCATTCTTTTATGGAGTTTATAGTATGGCGCTAATCATTTTTTCTGTCGTTGGCCAGATGTCTTTATTTTAAGCTTTTTGCAACGAGTTGAGCCGTGCGGTTTAAAATCCTTTTTGATGTAGTATGTAGTATTACGCCAGTGGCAAGTTTTCCACTTGTAGTGCACTTGATTTGCAATCTGTAGTTTAACAGCAAAAGCAGTAACGTTTTCAGACACTCGATATCAGTTTATGTTGAACATATTTTCCATTCACCTTT